GGACTCCTTACACTTCACTTCAATAAAGTCCAACCCATGGAAAGGTCCAGAGGGGTCAGGCCTGTTCTCTACTCTTAAATGATAATTTAAAGCCAGGAAGTTATGTCAGTCAGAAAAAAATTCTGTTTCAAAGGTCAAATAACCTCTGAGGGTTAAATTAGAAAAAAAAAAAAAAAAAAAAACAGCTGGAATGGAAATGGCTAAGAGCTGAAGGAACCTTATTTTTTTCTTGAACAAGATGAAACTTTTATCCTCCAGATACATCTTTTTCCCAACAGCTGGTCAGTTTCCCATCCCCCTCCCCCATCTTTTCTCTACAGTTATTTTAATGATTGTTATTTGGAGGGTAAGGCAAGTTTTCTATATATAAGAAATATCTTTAAATTTAATGTTTAGAATTTCACACTGTACATACTTTTGTATTGTCTTTTTTTGGGGGGAAAAGTCTCCACCATTGAAATAGCCCTAAGCTTACAGATCTTTGTCCTGTAATCTATATGGTCTTCCAAGTTCAGTTTTTCAATCGTGTAGACCATCTGCCTCTCCATCTTCCCACTCCTGAAATTCCAAGATGACCACATTTCTTAACCTTAGGGAACTAAGATTTGGGAGTTGCAGCCTAAGGATCTTTAGATAAAATGGATTCAGTTACAGGTTTGGTTTTTTTTTTGTTTGTAGCTTCTTATTCAGAACCTTTGATGACAGGTAGAGTGGACAGTGAGAGAGAGAGAGAGACAGAGAGAAAGGTCTTCCTTTTGCCATTGGTTCACCCTCCAATGGCCACCGCAGCTGGTGCGCTGCGGCTGGCGCACCGCGCTGATCCGATGGCAGGAGCCAGGTGCTTCTCCTGGTCTCCCATGGGGTGCAGGGCCCAAGCACTTGGGCCATCCTCCACTGCACTCCCTGGCCACAGCAGAGAGCTGGCCTGGAAGAGGGACAACTGGGACAGAATCCGGCGCCCCAACCGGGACTAGAACCTGGTGTGCCGGCGCCGCAAGGCGGAGGATTAGCCTAGTGAGCCGCGGCGCCGGCAGATTCAGTTACAGTTAACCTAAGCACTACTGCTTCTGATATTTGAACAGGCTCCCCAAAGAGGTTGTGTTCATCACTAGAAACTGTTTGGAAATGCTAATTCTGCAGTTTGCTTACTAACATACACAGTGAGGAGGTGGCTGTTAAGACACTCGTGTCCCATACGGAGTCCCTGAGTTCAACACAGGGTCTGGCCTCTGACTCCAGCTTCCTGCTGATTCAGGGAGGTAGCAGTGATGGCTCAAGTGATTGGGTCCCTGCCACCCATGTGGGAGACCTGGACTGTGTTCTTGGCTCCTAGTTATGCCCCTGCCTAGTCCTAACCACTGCAGGCATTTGGGGAGTCAGACATTTGGGAATGTGTTCTCTTTCTCTCTCTCTCTCCTCAAATAAATATTTTTTTAAAATAAATAAGTAAAATAGTGTGAAGAACGAGAGTTTCTAAATGGTACCAGGCCATTTGGGAAATGACATTGGTTTTGAAAGCATAGTGATATCATTTCAGATGAAATCTAATTAAACATTGGGGGAATAGTTTTGCATTTTTCTAAACTTACAACTCGGATCAACGTCAATAATCAATCTTAAAAGATAGTGAAGTTTTATTATCTATTAGGGTATTTCAAAAAGGTCATGAAAAATGGAATAAAATATGTTTATTTTAGTATCAAAAAAAATTGAAATCCATGCAATTTTTTCACAAAACTCATTTTCCATGAACTTCTAAAAATATTTATTTTATTTATTTGAAAGGCAAAGTTACAGAGAGAGAAAGAAATCCTCTATTCACTGGTTCACTTCCTAAATGGCCTCAATGATTGGGGCTGGATCTGACCAAAGCCAGGAGCCTGGAACTCCATCTAGGTCTCCCACCTGGGTGACAGGGGCTCAAGTACTTGGGTCATCTTCCGCTGCTTTCCCAGGTGCATTGGCAGGGAGCTGGATCGGAAGTGGAGTAGCCAGGACTCAAACTGGCACCCATATAGGATACCAGCGTTTTAGGTGGCAGCTTATCGCACTGTATCACAATGCCAGCCACTCCATGAATTTTTAAGACCTGCCACATTCATGGGTTCCAAAAAATTATGCGCCAAAATAAGCCTATTTTTTAATTCCACTTTCCATGAACTTTTCAAAGTACCCAGTACGGCTGAGGAAAATATTTTCTGTATGCTCATTAAAAATTTTCAAAATATGTAAAGACAAAAAGGATCAAGGAAGTTGAAACAAAAATAGTCTAATCCGCATTTTCTAAGCACTAAGACAATAACAGTGCTAAGTTTAATGCTACTGGCCGGTGCCGTGGCTCACTAGGCTAATCCTCCGCCTTGCGGCGCCGGCACACCAGGTTCTAGTCCCAGTCGGGGCACCAGATTCTGTCCCGGTTGCCCCTCTTCCAGGCCAGCTCTCTGCTGTGGCCAGGGAGTGCAGTGGAGGATGGCCCAAGTGCTTGGGCCCTGCACCCCATGGGAGACCAGGAGAAGCACCTGGCTCCTGCCATCGGATCAGCGCGGTGCTGAACCAGCGGCAAAAGAAGACCTTTCTCTCTCTCTCTCTCTCTCTCTCTCTCTCTCTCACTGTCCACTCTGCCTGTCAAAAAAAAAAAAAAAGAAGAAAAAAGAAAAAAAAAGAAAAAGTTTAATGCTACTGATATTGTTTCTGTGTCTTGATGATAACATACATGGAAGTGTGATTGAACAAAAACCACTGATTCTGCTCTTAGGGAGACATTCAAGTATTTGCTTTTTGAAGGTTGATGGGTTTTTTCCTATCCAGAATTGTTTTAATCAGGTCAGTCACAGTTTTTTCATGATACTGCTTACTTCAAAAATATAATTGTATGACAACAGTTTTAGCCCAAAAGGAGATAAGGATCATAATTCTTTTTAAAGATATTACAGGCATTTCTCAACTTTCATAGCATTTCTTTCGTACAGGTCACCAACTGAAGGTACTAAGCTAAAAGCAACCTGCAAATATTCATGGTAGGACTTGGATATTTCTGCCTTTGGTTCTTTAAAACTTAATTAGCTGAGAATATTTAAAAGTGAGAGAATTTCAGCTGTAACTTCCATATTTCTTGAAAAATATGACAAGATCATTAATAATGGATCCCAATTCCCACAAGCCCCAATTAGCTAAGTAGCTGGCTATGCCATGAGCAAGAGGCACCTGCACCGTCCCCCACGCTCCCAGCCATCCCCACACTCCAGGATGGAGGCTGGTTGCTATCCACCATTCTCCTCACATGCTAGTTTGTCTTTCTTCCACATTACTTGCTTCAAATTACTTTGGAAGCCTGGTTCCTGGAGGTATTTAAGTTTGTAACTCTTGTCCTTCATCATTGATGCAGTAATAGCCAAAATTTCCACTGTGTTTACCAGGGCTACACAGTTTTTCATTTAAAAATACATGAACTCATTTAACCTTCAAATTAATCTGTAGAGTGAACATTACTGGCACTCCCATTTTACAGGTTAGGAAACTGAGACACCAAGAAGTTGGGAACCCAGCAAAGGTAACACACATCTCACATGTGGTGGCACCAGACTCACACGCAGGCCTCTGGCTCCAAGCCGGAGAACCCAACCATTCAGCTTTCATGCACACACAGTGGAAGTCTCCTTAGGATCACATGGGCACTGGCCACACAGTGCTGCTCATGGCCTTCTTTGAAACACTTAGACAGCAAACTCTGGGTTTGTGATCAGATGCTGGATAGCATCTAACCCAGGGGCACCTGACTAGCCAGACCACCCTTTCCCCACAGCTCTGCTGCCATCTGCCAGGAGGTGGTCCTCGCAAGATGAGGCTTCTGTGTCTGAAAACACCTCTAGAGCTGGGCTCCGAGTAGCTGCACAGCCACAAGCAATGGCTCCCGCTGCAAGAATGTGTCTTTTTCATTTTTACCCTAAGACTTACTTTGAAAATAGCACAGGTATAAAATTAACAAAACACTTTACCAACGTTGAAAACCCATGGAGCACTTCTGCCATTCTACACAATGACCATCCATTTGGACTTTTCATTACCCAACCAAATCCTTTCCTGATTACAACTGGAAAACAGACAGTGATGACCTTAAATATTTGTATCTCCAAATTCTCAGAGCTTTAGGCTATTTCCCTTTGCCCAAGAATAGACATGAAACACGAAAGCAGTCGTCTTCCAGGAACAGCACGCCCTCCTCCTACACTTCATCATGGCACAGGAACCCCTTGAGTCTGCATGATCTTTTGGCATTCATCCTTTTCTTTTCTTGTGGCATAAAGCTTGTAAATTAGAATAAAGATTTCTCCCTCCCATCGAGTTATCATCTTGTAGCTAGTATCTAATTTAATCTAAGATCAATTAATTGGTACAGGTTCATTATCTCTATCCAAAAGACAAGGAGGTAAGATAGGACCTCAGATATGACGACTCTTAAGTTGGGGGTTATTCTACCATCCCATAATGTCTGTGGATGCTGGTCCATCAGAGTAGTTGCACAGCAAAGCCTTTAAGCACTCAGGGCTCCACACATTCATTTGCCAGTCTGTTTGCTTCAAGTCCGTCCTAGGAGACACACACAACGCTCACCCAACAATTCACCAGTGCATAACCAATTGGAACCACACTCTGAAGTTAAATTCATTCTTTCCAAATGGAACAGACAAGTGCTGACTCAGTCGAGTCCCAAAGAACTGGGAGAAGAGAATAGGAAGGAATAAATCAGGAATCTGTGCAGAAAAATGACTGAAGGAGGAATGAAGACGACAATTCTCAAGGATAAGTTCTGGAACATATTGGCAGACAGCATCATTGTTCACACCTTCTAGTAGACCCACGAAGTTGTTTGAGAAGGGAAAAAGCTCTTGCAAATACACAAGCAGAGACAGCACCAGGAATCCTAAGCCTAAAGGACACTCAGTCCCAGCAGAAGCCATGGAGGTCTTCTGAACGGGGATTGGGGATCTGTGTGAACTTACAGGACTGTGGTCTGCTGTGCTGCCTGAGGAATGTGGTCCAGCATCAAGTGCATGCAGCGGACGGTGCTCTTAAAGCAAAGGCACCGGCTGGGGCAGGGCAGCCCCTGCAGGCACCGGGCAGCCAGGAGAAAGCAGGTGGCCAAGCAGAGCAGTCTGGGCTCCATGGCTCCATCCACCGCAGGCAGGCAGAGCAGCAGGCAGGAGCAGCAGCAACTGCTGCAGCAGCACCAGCAGCGACCGTGGTGGTGGTGGTCGCTGCTGGCTGAATCAAGCTTGGGAGCAGTGGCTGAGAGCCGCTCCCAGGGAAGAGGCACCCCCTGGCCAATCCAGGAGGAGGGAGATCACATTACAGGGCTGAGGGCAAGGGGCGGCTCTGGGAGGCACTGGACTCCCAGGAACTGGGAAGAGAAGCTTGGCAGTGCGAAAACCTCTTTAGGCAGACGCAGGCAAATAAACACACACTTTGCCAAAGTTGTTTCCATTGCACATTTTATGTAAGCTCCAGCCTCTTAGCCCCTAGCTGTCCTTTTGAAGCTCAAGTTGATTAATTATTTATTGAATTCCTGCAGAACAGCTTTTCTTGTTTCTTTCTTTTTTTTCTAATCTGGTAAAATTACCAAATCCTAAAGGGCAGGCAGAGTTCTCATCAGTTGATTTGGACACACATATTCTGTCGTTAGTCCAAACTATGCTTGCAAATCAGGGTTTCATTGCCTTCTTTGTGTTCTACTCCTCACTCGGGTGTAATTAACAGTGGCTACTTCTTGACATCCTTCTTTAACATTGAAAGTTCAAAACTGCATGCCTGAAATCACAAACTCACACTTAAAAAGGAGGCAACCTTTGCACAATCATGTGTTAGGACGAGGGATCTTCACAAAGTTCATAGAAAATGTCTATTATGAAAAACTACACATGGTTTCAAAGAATCTTTGCACCAAAATAAACTTATCTTGTAACACCACTTTCCATGAATTTCTTATCAGCAGTCCAAAGCAGCCATGTTGTGCCCAGGTTGGTGGACCCTCCTTGGGGACATGTGTGCAAACTAGCAGACTTCAATAAGCACCCCTTGAGGTTAAACCCCTACTTTTTGGTTATTCTCTAAGTTTGCATTCTTAAAAATATTTTTTGGTTTTAGACTGAAGTTTTTGGCCAGTGCAGCGGCTCAACAGGCTAATCCTCCACCTGCGGCGCCGGCACACCGGGTTCTAATCCCGGTCGGAGAGCCGCATTCTGTCCCAGTTGCTCCTCTTCCAGGCCAGCTCTCTGTTATGGCCCGGGAGTGCAGTGGAGGATGGCCCAAGTCCTTGGGTCCTGCACCCGCATGGGAGACCAGGAGAAGCACCTGGCTCCTGGCTTTGGATCAGCCGGAGCAGCCACTGGGGGGGTGAACCAACGGAAAAAAGAAGACCTTTCTCTCTGTCTCTCTCACTGTCCACTAAAAAAAAAAAAAAAAAAAAAAAAAAAAAGTCTGAAGTTTTCAAACACATCTATTTTTAAAATATAAAAAATTGAAAACAAATTAAAACTTGGTTGGTCAATCTCAGATGGTCAATCTCAGTTGGTCAATCTCAGATGGACCAGGAGACTCGTCTATCGAGCGAGGAGTTAGTTTTGTCAACTTCTATCAACTTTATGAGGAAAAATAAACTCATCCTTCTCTCTGAAGTATTTTTTTTTCCAATCCCTTTACATTTTACTGTAGGTGAATACTGCCCTCTTTTGGCAAAATGTTTGTATTTAAATATGTGATGGAGGAGGAGAATTAAAAAATTTTTTTAATTTGAAGAAATTATTCTCCATGAACTAGAATGATTTTAAAATAAAATTTAAAGGATCCTTGACATTGTTCAGACATCTTAGGTTACCAATACACCAAGAACACAAATTTCTTGTTACTCTCCCCTCAGAATTTCCGTGCTGGTGCCAGTGTCTGTGAGTTGGAAGATGAAGATTAGATCTGATCTGCAGGTTTGTCTTCTTTTACAGCTTAAAAGATAAGAAATGTATTCACAAAATATTTTTCTAGAAGTAAAGGTGCCAATTTTCCCATTTCAGAAACTTAAGCTGATGTTGAGAGAGAAAAAAAAATTCACCCAATATCAACTGGGAATACAGAGCCAGTAACTCTAAGGCACAAATCACCATACCCATGTGTGATGCACCCACGAGTGACTGTGGGTCCCCTTGGAGAGGGCCTCGGGACAACCCATCATCTGGAACCAATCCCGAGTGCTCGACGCAATATGAACAGTGTCTTTATGAATGAGTCCATGGGGAAATTAGTAAGATGGACACAAGAGTTCAAAAGGGAGGTTCGGAGGGAAGCCAAACATGGAAGGCTGGTACCACTTCAGCTGTTGCCCAACCAAGTGACATTAACTCGAAGCACTGGGAGTAGCAGGGACAGGAAGAAGAAAGGGACCTTTTCTGCATGGAGTCTCTGTTGGGAGATCTCCTGTGGAAAGCCACAATGGTTACCTTAAGCACGAACTTGAAATAAACTTCCCTCCCCTGCAAAGAATGCAAGGTCAACTGCTCATTTAAAACCTGCCATGGGGATACAGGGAGGAAAATCTCCCTCGAGATGTGGTTATCTCCAAAGTAGACTGCTTATGGGTTTTTAGGCTTCTCCACCTGGATGCTCCAAAACTCTGGAAGCCCAGGATGTACAGTCATGAGCTGGAACTGCCCCTGGAAGAAAACCCTCAGGTCTCTAATAATTTCCACAAAGCTCTACAAGACAGCCTGGTCAAAACCCACAAAATACAGAGAAAGTTACGAATGCTAGCCATCAGAAACACTGGAGCAGAGAGGCCAGTGTTGTGGCACAGCAAGTTAAGCCATTGCTTGTGACAGTGGCATCCCGTATCAGGTCCCAGCTGCTCCACTTCTGACCCAGCGCCCTCCTAATGCACCTGGGAAAGCAGCAGATAACAGCCCAAGTGCATGGCCCCTGTCACCTACATGGGAGACCTGGATGGAATGCCTGACTCCTTGCTTGTTATGGTCATTTTGGGAGTCAACCAACAGATAGAAGCGCGCTCTCTCTCTCTCTCTCTCTCTCCTCCTTTTGAATAAATGAACAAAAATAAATTTCTTTTTCTTTTTAAAGATTTATTTATTTGAAAGTCAGAGTTACACAGAGAGAGGAGAGAGAGAGAAAAAGAGAGAGAAGTCTTCCATCCGATGGTTCACTCCCCAATTGGCCATAACGCCTGGAGTGGCACTGATCCTAAGCCAGCAGCCAGCCAGGAGCTTCTTCCGGGTCTCCCACATGGGTGCAGGGGCCCAAGCACTTGGGCCAACCTGTACTGCCTTCCCAGGCCACAGCAGAGAGCTGGGTCAGAAGTGGAGCAGCCAGGACTCGAACTGGCGACCATATGGGATGCCAGCACTTCAGGTCAGGGCGTCAACCCGCTGTGCCACAGTGCTGGTCCCATAAATCTCTCTTTTTTTTTTAAGAGACAAAGAAACACCTTGAGCAGAAGCCCACCTTAGCTAGGTCAGGTATGAGGCTCAAACATAGAATATAAAATGATTAGGTTAGGGGACAATAAAAACAATCCAGCAGATTTGAAAAAGCAAAACTAAAAAACATGACAGACATTAAAATTCAAGGTAAATAGGGTGAGTGAGTGGTGTAGCTAGCTGTTAAGATGCCGTTTGGTATGCTCACATCCCATATTGCTCCTGACTCCCTTCTCCTAATGTGCACCCAGAGGGCAGCAGACAATGGCTATTGTTGGGTCCTTGTCACCTGGACTGAAACCTGGTTTGAGCTCTTGAGCCAGTCCTGGCTGCTGTGGGCATTTAGGGGGTGCATCAGAAGACAGAATCTCTGTCTTGCTACCTCTCTCTGCCTTTCAAATAAATAAAATCAAGCTGGAGTCATCAATATAACCAAATTTCCAAGCATATTACAAACCTATAGTAATTAAAACAGCATGGAACTGGCACAAGAACTAGCACATTGATTAATGGGACAGAATAGACATACATACAGCCAACTTATTTTTCAGAGTGCCCAGAATATATGCTGGAGAAATAAGTGTATTCTCAAAAAAAAAAAAAAATGGTGCTGGCAAAACTAGACTTATATAAGAATGAAATTAGATGCCTAGCTCTGGCTTTATACAAAAATCAACTCAAGATGAGTCAAAGATCTAAATTCAACACCTGAGATCATGAAATTGCTAGAAGAAAATGCATGGGAAACGTTTCATGACATCAAAAGCAAAACTAAATAAACTGAATTATATTTGAAGTCAGGAGCTTCAGCCTGGGGCCCGGTGCTATGGCATAGCAGGCAAAGCTGCTGCCTGCTCATGACAAGAACCTCGGGTGATCACTGATGTCATAAATAAGAGTGTCAATTGTTAAATCAACAAAAGGAGTCACTGTGTACTTGCTCCTCATGTAGGACCTCTGTCCTTAATGTGTTGTACTATGAGAATTAATGGCAAAACTAGTCTTCAAACAGTACTTTATGCTTTGTGTGTCTGTGTGGGTGCAAACTGTTGAAATCTTTACTTGGTATACAGTTGTCTGTATATAAAGATAATTAAAAATGAATCTTAATGAAGAATGGGATGGGAGAGGGAATAGGAGGTGGGACAGTTTGGGGGTGGGAGGGTGGGTATGGGGGGAAAGAACCACTATAATCCAAAAGTTGTGCTTATGAGATCTATATTTATTAAATAAAAGCTTTCTATATTAAAAAAAAAAAAACTGAAAACAAAAGCTGCTGTGTGTAGTGTCAGCATCCCATATGGGCACCATTTTGACTCCAAGCTGCTCCACTTCCAGTCCAGCTCTCTGCTTTGGCATGGGAAAGCAGTGGAAGACGGTTCAAGTCCTTGGGCCCCTGTGCCTGTGTGGGAGACCCCAAAGAAGCCCCTTGCTCCTGGCTTCGGATTGGCCCAGCTCCAGCCATTGCAGCCATTTGTGGAGTGAACCAGTAGATGGAAGACCTCTCTCTCTCTCTGCCTCTCTTTAACCCTGCCTTTCCAATAAATAAATAAATATTTTAAAAAATAATAAAAAATAAAATTGCTGGTTCAAAATTTTTTTAAAAAAGCTTCTGTACAACAAAAGAAACAACCAATAGAGTGAAAAAGACAACCAACAAAATGGAAGAAAAAATATATATATATATTTTTTTGACAGGCAGAGTGGACAGTGAGAGACAGACAGAGAGAAAGGTGTTCCTTTGCCGTTGGTTCACCCTCCAATGGCCGCCGCAGCTGGTGTGCGGCGGCCGGCGCACCGCACTGATCCTGATGGCAGGAGCCAGGTGCTTCTCCTGGTCTCCCATGCGGGTGCAGGGCCCAAGCACTTGGGCCATCCTCCACTGCACTCCCTGGCCACAGCAGAGAGCTGGCCTGGAAGAGGGGCAACCGGGACAGAATCCGGCACCCCGACCGGGGCTAGAACCTGGTGTGGCGGCGCCGCAAGGTGGAGGATTAGCCTAGTGAGCCGCGGCGCCGGCCGGAAGAAAATATTTGCAAGCTACTTACCCAACAAAGGAATATCCAGAATCTATCAGCAACTCACAAGACTCAACAACAAAAACAACCAATCCAGTTAAGAAATGGGCAAAGGCACAGAAGAGTTCTGAAAAGAAGAAATACAAATGGCCAACAAATATATGAAAAAATGCTCAGTATCACTAGCCATCAGGGAAATGCAAATCAAAACCACAATGAGATATCACCTCACCCCTGTCAGAATGGCTATTATCAAAAAGAGAGCGACAAATGCTGGTGAGGATGGGGAGAAAGGGGGACTCATACACTGTTGGCAGCAATGTAAATTAGTGCAGCCACTGTGGAAAATGAAATGGAGACTTATTAAAAAAATAGAATTAGATGTGCTGTATGATCCAGCAGTCCCACTACTTGTAACTCAAGATGTGAACACATTGCACCAAAGACCTTATCTGGTCCATCATGTTTGTAGCAGCACTGTTAACAACAGCCAAGATATGGGAATCAATCAAGGTGAGCATCATTGACATGAATGGATAAAGAAAATGTGATATATACAAACAATGGAAGATTTCTTCAGCTAAATAGAAGAATGAGGGCTGGCACTGTGATGCAGCTCATTAAGCTCCAGCGTGAAGTGCTGGCATCCTATATTAGCACCAGTTCGTGGCCCGGCTGCTCCACTTAAAATCCAACTCCCTGCTAATGCACCTGAGAAAGGAGTGGAGGATGGCCCAAGTCTTTGGCACCTGCAACCCCGTGAGAGAACATGGGAGACCTGGAAGAAGCTCCTGGCTCCTGGTTTCAGCTTGGCAGAGCACTGATCATTGTGACCATCTGCAGTGAACCAGTGGATGGAAGCTCTCTCTCTCTCTCTCTCTCTCTCTCTCTGTGTGTGTGTGTGTGTCTCTGCTTCTCTAACTCTGCCTTTCAAGTAAGTAAATCTTTTTAAAAAATGAAAATGATTTGCAGCAAAATGATTAGAACTGAAGGACATCATGGTGAATGAAATAAGCCAGAAAGACAAATACCACATGTTCTCCCTTATATGTGGCAGTTACAATAAAAAAACAAAACCGAAAGTCTCAAATTGAAATGTCTGTAACAGTTTTGCTGCAAATAGTTTTGTCACATGTTGTTTTAAATTTTTGTCTAACAGGGGTTGGCATTATGGGGTAGTGGGTAAAGTCTCTGCTGGAATCCCACAGGGGTGTCACTTCAAGTCCCAGCTGTTCCACTTCCAGTCCAGCTCCCTGCTAATCTGCCTGGGAAAGCCGCAAAGGATGGCCCAAGGGCTTGGACCTCTGCTACGCATGTGAAGACTCTAATAAAGCTCCTGGCTCTTAGCTTCAGCCTGTCCCATCCCAGCCACTAGCGCCATCTGGGGAGTGAACCAGCAGATGACAGCTCACTGTCTCTCTCCTTCTTTCAAATAAATAAATAAATCTTAAAAAAAACTTTGTCAAGCAAAGTGATGAGAATTATATACTAATATAGTTTGAATGATTTTGTGACTATTTTGAGTTTAACAGCAGAAAGTAAATGAAAAGAGAATTAGTGTTGACAAAATATTTCTGAAGAAATTATCAAAAATTCAATACTGAGAGACAAAAAGTTGTGAAAGTTGCTATCTGGGAAAGAAGTGACCAACAACTTCCAGAACTGATGCAAAAGAACCATTCACACAGCGGGAAGACAAACACACACCAGGTGATAAAGAGCCGCCTGCCTCTAAGTATCTCTTAGAAGGATGCATAAGCAGCTTTAGACTTGGATAAACTAGCTGAGTCCATTGAAATGCTGACTGTAATCACCCAAAAGAAAAAACAACTACATAACTTCTAAAATAACAGGAAAATTAAGAGAAACTAATTTTAAAAGATGGGGGAAACAGTAAGATGTGTAAGACAAAATATTCTATTGTATTTAAAGTAAGTGGATAGAATGTCTCAATCAGAATAAATCTTTAAGCATATCAGCTGTTTACAAAACATTATCTAGAACATAAGGATAAAAAAAAGTGAAAATAAATAGAATAAAACAAAGATCCACTAGGTGACTGCTAACCAAGATAGCTACATGATTATCAGAGAAAACAGACTTTGAAGAAAAGAACATTACTAAAGATAAAGGTTTCTACATCATGCTAAAAAAGTTTCCAATTACCACAAGGACACAATAACCCTACTACCCCATCAAAATCCATAGCAAAACTTCAAAGAACTATGAGAAAGAATTGACATTCCACCATGAGAGCCAGAGGTTTTGCCAAATTTCTCTCAGCAGCTGATAAATGATATGGGCACATACACAAACATTCCCAGAGGCTATTTTAGATTTGGACAATATTTCACAACATATTCGACCTGACACTCACAGAAAACTAGATTATCTGAACAACCGCAGAACAACTCATTGTAAAATAAATAAACAGATACAGGCCATGCAGGAATGGGCATTCAGCCTAGCAGTTCAAGAAGCCCACATCCTACACATCCAAGAAGCCAGGTTCAATACCAGACTTCGGTTCCTGCCAATGCAGACCCTGGAAGCAATGGATAGGCAGAGTAAATAACTCAGTTCCCAGCTCCTGGCTCTTAGGTACTTAGGGAATAAAACAGCAGATGTTTTTTACTCTGTCTCTATGCCTCTAAAATAAAAATAAATAAATGTTTAAAAATTTTTCATGAACACATAGAGGAATGAAAACAAGAAAAAAGGCTGTTCTTTGTCATCACGTCTACTTAGTATCACACTAGAGGCCGCAAACAGCATATCCAGCAAGGTAAAGTAATAAAACCTAAAAGAAAAAGCATCTAAAATTTTAAAATGCTAAGGTTGTCTACGTAGAAAACCCAGATTAATAATAAAATAGTGTGATTTAATTAACATACAAGAAAATCAATGGTAAAACAGTGGAGTGTCGTGGCTCCGGCAGGTAAGCTGCCTTTCAGGACCTCTACATCCCACGTCAGTGTAGGTTTGTGTCTTGGCTATTCCATTTCCATGCCAGCTTCCTGCTAATGCACCTGGGAAGGCAGTAGTTGATGACCCCAGTACTTGGGTCCCAGCCACTCATGTTAGAGACCTAGGCTCCTGACTTCAGCCTGGTTCAGTCCCAGCTGTTGCAGCATTTGGAAAGTGAACTAGCAGACAGATGTGTATGTGTTTGTGTGTATGCATGCATGTATGCACATGCTGTCACTCTGCTTTCTGAAAAAAACAAAAAGTTTACAGTAAAATAGCACTGAAAAACATAAAGCATTTATAAATAAACCTAACATTAGACCTTACAAACTGTATTAACTATTAAGACACTTAATAAGACTTCAATAAAAGGGGGAAAATACCATATTCATGGATTGGAAGACTCCATATCATAAACCTGTTATTTCTTACACATATTATATAAATTCAATGTGATACTAAGGAAATCCTAAAAGGGTGTATTTTGTATAAATTTTAGAACAGTCAAGAAAATAGTCAAGGGGCTGGCGCTGTGGCATAGCAGGGAAAGCCACCACCTGCAATGTTGGCATCCCATATGGGCGCTGGTTCAAGTCCTGGCTGCTCCATTCCTGATCCAGCTCCCTGCTAATGCACCTGGGAAAGCAGCAGAAGATGGCACAAGTTCTTGGGCCCCTGCACCTGCGTGGGAGACCCAGAAGCAGCTCTTGGCTCCTGGCTTTGGATCGGCCCAGCTCCGGCCATTGCAGCCATTTGAGGAGTGAACCAGCAGATAGAAGACCTTTCTCTGTCTCTCTGCCTCTGCCTCCCTATAACTCTGCATTTCAGATAAACAAATAAATCTTTAAAAAAAAATAGTCAAGAAAACTCCTGGGATATAAGTTGAAGCGACTTATTTTAATAGATCAAGAGCAAGAATTATTACAGATCTACAGAACATAAAACTGTGATGTCAGCACAAGAATATGCAAATTAACTAAAATACACAATCTGGACACAAAGCACAAACATGAAAGCTTAATCTATGACAAAGTTAGTACTGCAGATCAGAGAAAGAGAAAAGGACTTTTGAAGAAATGTCTCTACACAACTTATCAACAAAATAAAAGACACCAAGGTGTAACTGTTTGGTGCTGCAGTGAAGTGATCATTTGACACCTGCATCCTGTATCAGAGAACCTGGGTTGAAGTCCTGGCTCTATTTCTGCTTTCAGCTTCCTGCTGAAAAAACCTTGGGAAACTACAGGTGATGGTCTGAGTGCTTTGGTCCCTGTCACCCACATGGAGGACCCACGTTGAATTCCAGCTCCAGATCAGGTTAAGCCACTTAAGCCACCACTTGCAAAGCCAGCATTTCAGATACCCCATATCAGGCCCCCAATTCAAGTCTGTTGCTTTGCTTCTCATCCAACTCCTTGCTAATACACCTGAGAAAGTAGAAGATGGTCCAAGTACTTGAGCCCCTGTACCCATGTGGGAGACCTGGATGGCATTCCTGGCTTCTGGCATCCTCAGACACTGTGGTCATTTGGGGAGTGAACCAGCAGATGGAAGATCTCTCAGTCTCTTCCTCTCCCTCTGTAACTCTGCCTTTCAAATAAATAATTTTTTAAATAGAATAAATTAAACCCGAACCATGAATGTAACAAAACTACCACGTTTAACACGGGCCTGTCTTAGGAAGGTGATGTGGAGTGAGCAAGCTGCAGAAGAACACACAGCTCAGTATGATTCTAGCATGTATGAAACCCAGTAACACAGGGCGATTGGCAAGTGGCACACATGCGGTGCTAACACCAGTAATTGAACCCAATAGTAGCTACAAGTACATCTACATGTACACTGAATTACTACTTCTCATACTTCACATATCATCCTTCTCATCTTAATACTTTATAAATTTTTTAAAAGCCCTATTCATCAGCAGTGTCAATAGTCAAAAGGAAAGTGAGATGTCCAAACACAGACAACTAAATACTAAATAACTCAGCATGTATTCCCAGGGGTATGGAGATCGTCTAACTTTAAAAAGAGAAAAAAGAAAAGCCAGGCCACTGAAGAACGATGCTTAGTTATATGCAATTGTTTATTTAAAATATTTTTCCAAGTCTTCCAACGATTTAACATGCTTTGTTTCACTTTCACCATCTCACACAGCTAGAAATCAACACATTTTTTTGTATTTTATTTTAACCACTATGTACGTATGCTATTTTAATATTTTTCTTTATTGATACTAGAACCAAATAGTTTGATCGACAAGCTGTATAGATTTAAAGTCTTCTTGGCAGCTACGGTGTCACTGACAAATTCTTGGCATTCATATCAGGCCCTATCTCTAACTAGCTGTGTGACTAAGGCAAAACATGCCACCTCTCCAGAGGCCCACTTCTTCATTTGCAAAATAAAGTCCTCAATTAGACATTATCTATTGTCTCATCTGGCTGTAGAATTCCTAGACTATATTACCATTTTCATTTTTACTTCATCTTTACTTGCTCTTCTCCACTTACAAAAACTTTCCATACTCAAGTAAACATGAATTCATTAAAAATAAACATCAACCCAAAATATTCTAATATATAAGAAAGCTTTCACAGGAATTTTCCTTTTTGATTTCTACCTCTTTATTTTAAAGTCAATGATAACATCGCAATGGTAAAATGAATGCATTTAAAAACACAAAAGATACATTTCAATGACAAAAAGTATTCAATGATCATGAAAAATCTACTGTACACTTTAACAAGGTCGAGAGAATGAAAGACATTATGAAAACGTCAATCTTCAAATATATGCCTAATAAAAACTCTCTCCTAAACAGTGAAGCCATTATTTAAGAACATGTATTTTTACATATCTGGACACCAGCTCCAATAAAATCGGGGGGAGAAGGATGAGAAAAGATGGCTAAGTCTCCCCAGGATTTCAAGATACAAACATGTGGGCAGGAGAAATTCACAACTACACTTCTCAAACAAGCACTTGATTCAAAATAAAATGACCATTTCCAACAGATATGAAACTGTTTCCTAGACAGAAACTTGATGAGGCATTTCTTAGTATCAGCTTGATAATCATCTACGTAAAATGTAAAGGCCCCCACCCACTCCCCAGCCACTGGAAGCAGTACTTTCCCTGAAACTGTCCTTCACATCACTAAAACAGCCTCAATTATCTGCAGTGATGTCATACTTACATTATTTATTTCAAACACCTGTTTTCAGATGTGTACAATTACTGGAGCTGAGATTTTTGAAGCAGTATTTGAACTTGGTAGAGAAATAAAAATCCATTTACTATACAATGATTGGGTTTCCTTAAGTAAATCTGAGTAATTATTGTAATAATGATGCTGGTGGTAGTAAGTGATACCCTCAAATTTTTCCCTTTAAAAATATGTAATCCGTGTAACATAAAGTGGCAGGTTACAGTGTATACTTTCCTAGCAAGGCATGACTGTTTATAAGCTTTACTAGAAAGAGTCATAATGGCACTTCCTGCCAACTTTATCACTGACAAGCTGTAACAAAATTCACATATGGGTACATTAAGTATGTGATATTAAGCAAAAAATGAAAACCATTGTAATTTTGCCAAAAGAAACATTAAAAAGTATGAGGAGTTGTTAGATGAGCATGGTGTAGGTCCCAAAGTTTACTCTGTAGTTCTGAACCGGCTTTTCAAAACAGAAGGTGTCTACAAACAATTTCTGTGAATATGTCTTATACTAGAAAGACCCAAAGCAAATACAGTAAGCTCAGCCCTCCCTTGTCAAAGATAAATATTCAGATAAACTGAAGTCCCATTTACTAAAGTGCATCTGCTGTCCACGCCTGCCCTAGCTCTGCAACTCGGAGCTGTCCAGCAAAGTGGCAGTCACACGTGCTCATTTCACTCACTCACTCGCTGTCTATGCTAAGAGTCACACACAACACTGGAGCTCTTAAACCAAATACTTTCTATAGTGAACTATAGAAAAAAAAGATCCTTAATAAACCTTGAAAATCTTGAAAGAGTCAAGATGACCTCATTAACTTTAAATACTGAAAATATAAAGGGTCCATACAAACTAAGAGTTGTATTAAGTGTATACTTTCTAATATTCACTTGCTGTGCTCTTAAAAATCTCTATGAGAGAAGCAGATATCCCCACCCACCCCCGCCCAGGTCTTTTGGCAACAGATTCAAAAGCAAAAATTGCAGGGCTGTAAAATTTCATGAAACGTGTGTGTGTGTGTGTGTGTGTGTGTGTTTTAAAGCTAAATTACTCGATATGTTGCATTATTATTGCACTCATATATTGCCCGGAATACATCTACAGCAACTCAGAAATAGTGATTGCAACAAAAGTAAGGTAAATAGGTCTACAAAGCATCTGATTTCCTTATAAGAAAGTTTTCATAGAGGAAATGCAAATAACTGGAATTCAAATCAGATTTATATGCTTAACAATGATTTAAACCTTATATAAAATTACATCTAACCTTTACCACTATAAATCTGTAAGGAGTCAGAAAAGGATTTATAGGACACAAGGTCTTGACTATAGTTGCACCCCACTTTCAAATCACTCTGAGATAAAACAGCATTTTCCCAAGATTTAAAGAAAAATAGATTTTATAAAAGGGATTCTTTTTAAAGACTGAATACATCATTTTTGTTACTGACAGAAACAAGTTATACTTTTGTCCCCCACTATAATTCACTCTGATGAAAGAAATAATTCTTTTAACTCCTAACAAATGCTACATGTTCAAGACTAAAGGAATTATCAGTAGGCATTCTTCTCAATCTAAGTTATTTGTCTCTAAAATACGTCAAGTAAGCTTTTAAAGACTCAGGGAGGGGCAGCTTCATGATTTTCTCTCTCAGTAAATTCTGAGGAGGTTCTTCTGGCTTCATGGCTTCACTGTGCTCTCGCTCCTCCTCTTCCTTGTGATCTTCTTCCATTTTCTCATCCTCCTCACTGTCTAGAGGCTGAGGAATAAGCTGATTACCCACAAAGACATACGTGTTAATTCTCTGTTTCACTCTCTTTCTTTTCCTTTTGGGTGGAGCCCTTTGGGGAATTCCCTTGGCCTGCATCTCATCATTGATGAAATTTCTAAGTGTGCGGCGAATATAAATGCGTGCCAAGTCCTGCAGGTTCCTGACAGCACAGGGGGCTGAAAACAAAGGAAAACACAAAAAAGCATTATACACTGTTCGGTTATTCTCAGAACGAAATACTTCTTAGCAAACTCTGGACACAGCAAGTATAAAACCTCTCATCGACAGAGACTGCCAGGCCCCTGCGATGTGCTGAGCACCGCTCCAGGTGCTGAGGAGAGTGGACAGCACACAGGTTCCGATGTATAGGGGTGGGGCTGTGTGCTTTGCCACATATATGCACACGCACAAGTGCTCATGAATGACAAATAAAAATACAAAAACAGGCCGTGTGGAACCAAATAATCAGGGGACAGAACAGGAGACAGAATACCCTGTATATCCTTTTACACTTTCTGAAGTTTAAAGGACACAAAAGTACTTTGTAGTTATTCAAAAAACTCAGAAGCAACAAACGGCTACCTCAGTCTGAACCTCTCTCTTTCTCTCTTTCTCTCTCTCCCTCTCTCTCTCTCTCTCTCATACACACACACGCAAACACACACAGGGAGAGAGAAAGAGAAGGTGAGGGAGAAATCACTTTTTTCTTCTGTAAACCAACAAGTAGAGCAAAAGGCTACCAGAAATCATGCGATGAATAAACACTTTAGCAGCTCAAAGAAACACCACAGATTTGAAATTAGTGATGTTTGCTTTTACAAAATATATCAGAGAGCTGAAACATATGTGTAATACACATGTATAACCCCTAGAACCACATTCTTCCCTATAGCCACTTCAATACTTTATATGGAGAGAGAAACAAATTCTCTATGCTCCATCGGAAAATAATTTCTCCTAATTTCCATCCATGTGGAAATAAAATTATGAATAGGAAGCTTTCTCAGGTATCTAAAAATAAACAAAGCATAAACCTCCTAATTTAGGCAGTACTATAAATCTTTACCATTTCTCTCACTCTGAAGTCTTGAAGATGACACCCTCCTATGTTTTTAACATGGGAAATTTCACCTGTGGTTACCTGTGTTGGTACTGTTGTCCCCTTTAGACTCCAGGAGGATAGAGGTAGCTGTTAGCTCTTGGTGCTCTCCACAGGGCACTGGCAGCACAAGCCAGGCCTAGTACACCAGGCTGCAATGTCTCCTGTGCTCTGCCTTCCAAACACAGCCCCTGGCTTATGCCCAGTCACCCACTGGACACACGATGCAGCAGTAGAGTGTTTCCTAGAACCTTACAGTAGGGTGCTTCTAAAGACTCTCTTAAGTTCCATTCAGAGATCTCTTGGCATAGGCCTACTGGTCCACTGTATAAACCTCTTCTTAAGGCTGGTTTTCTGGTCCAGCCCATATGGATGCCAGTTCCAGTGCTGGCTGCTCCACTTTTGACCCAGCTCCCTGCTAATGTCCCTGGGAAAGCAGTGGAGGATGGCCCAACCGCTTGGGAGACCAGATGAAGCTCCTGGCTTCTGCCTTCTGCCTGGCCCAGCCCCTGACACTGCAGCCATTTGGGGAGTTAACCAGTAGATCTAAGATCTCAGTCTCTCCCTCTATCTCTGCCTTTCAAACAAATTAAAACAAACAATCAAAAAACAAAAACCTCTTCTTGAAGCTTTTTACCCTTCACCCCCACCACCACACTGAAACCAGACATGGATGAATTCCAGAGTCACAACGGGCATGCTCAGTTAGCTTTCTGAATATGCTTAAAAGCAGATATGAGTTCTCATCCCTTAAATATGCAAAATGCCACCTGTTCTGCCTAGCTATTCATTAACTATTCATTAAGTTATTTAACATTCATTCAACAATATAAACTGTGAACTGTACACCAGAAGTGGTTAGACAACCTGTTTAAATATGGCAAATGATCTGCACTGAGTGTCCCTGCATTCAAGGAGCTTCCATGTTCCGGGAAGGAGTAGTTTAACAAGAAAATCCACCAATAGTAATAGGGTGGGGGAAAAAACAACAACAACAACCGGCAGTAGTGATAAGACAGCAAGTGACTTGCGAGCATGCTTTCACCTAGGTATTCACAAATGTCTCCCGGAGGAGATCTTGTCTGACCAGGAACTAGATGGTATGAGGAGAAACAGCTGCAAAACTCTAATATTTAAATGAGCTCAGCAGGTTCACGGAGCTGAAAGAGGGAGAGCGTGAATGAAGTGTGGAACAGGTGAGCTGGAACACTTCAGGAGTTCCCATGAGGTATGACCCCATTCTGACTTAGGGCAGCAGCACAGACGGAGGGAAACAGGCAAATCCCAGATGCACTGTGAGGACAGGATGGACACAGGCTGGCTGTGGAGAACGAGGCACAGATAAATAAGTACATAAAACAGGAGGCTTTGGGCGCAGCAGCTGGGCAGAGGCTGGTGTGTTACTGATACAACAAAATACAGGTTGAGTAGAATAAAAAAAAATGTGTTTAGTTTGTGTTGAATCTATTATATATCCAAAATGAAGATTTTAGGAATAACAATAGAATGTTGTGCTAGCCTCCACTGCCACTGTTTTCTATATAATATAGCTCACTCAGTGCTCAAAAGCCCTACTGACCAAGGTAGGATCTGAATGCAGGTATTTGACTGCAAAGCCTACACTACCTCTCCAGCCAGGGCATGTGGCTCATGACTCTGGGGCCAGGTCAGGGCTGAAAGAGACATCGGTAGGGCCTCAAGCCATGGTGACATGCAAAGACCTGGGGTGGGATCACAGTACCTGGTATAGACAGAGCAGAGGAAAAACTGTATCTAGGGAGTTCCCCAGAGGAGAGAAAGGAGCACAGATTCATAAAAACGTGTCCTTAATTATAAAGGAGCTAAGAAATCAAACTGTACAGCGTTTTCAGCTTCTCTCTGTTCCTGAATCTTGCTCACACTACGGCTCTTCTCTGTCAGCACTGTAATTATGTTCTTTCTCTGCCAACACTGCCCTGACATTCCACAGCGGGACTTTTCTTTCTTTTCTTTAAGATTTATTTATTTACTTGAAAGGCAGAATTATACAGAGAGAGAGAGAGAGAGAGAGAGAGAGAGAGAGAGAGACAAAGAGAGTAAGATTCTCAATTCACTGGTTCACTCCGCAAATGGCCCCAATGGTCAGAGCTGGGCCGATCCAAAGCCAGCAGCTTCTTCCAGGTCTCCCACTTGGGTTCAGGGACCATCTTCTGCTGCTTTCCCAGGCACATTAACAGGAAGCTGGATCGGAAGTGGAACAGCCAGGAGTGAATCCAGCGTCCATATGAAATGCTGGTGCCCGAGGTGGTGGGCTTTAACCACTGAGTCACAGCGCCAGCCCCAAGAGGAACTTTTCTAAACCATCTGAAGAATACCTGGACTTCATCAAAAAACAAATGGACCCAGCAGGACAAAGATTCTGTCAGGATTCAGTAGCTTTAACACTTGGCAGTTCAAAAACAGCATTCAAGCTTCAGTCAGGAGTTCTCGATTGACACAAAAACCTTAGGTAATTCTTAGCCATACCTTTCAAACACCTCGTGTTTTCCATTCTCCAATATGCCCTTGTTTCTAATGCTTCCAGTCAGGAGGTAAGAACTCAGTGGATCAAGCAATGCTAATCCTGACTGCTATAAAAATCTGCTTTAAAGTTTTCACTCCAAAATTAAAGCTAAGATCATCCCTAACAAACAGACTTAATCTCCATTTGTTTCCTAAAATGTAGGCTCTGTATAGGTTTTGTTGGAATTAAGGAGTTAGGACTTTCATTTTTCACTTGTTAACAAAGATTAAACGGAGCATTTACATTCAGGCAGAAGCACAAAATAATTATCTGGGGCCTTATGTCAAAAAGGCCAACTAAAAAAGAAACGACTTCATATAGTGATAATGTGATATAGTTCCGTAATTTATTGATTTATTTTTAAAGAATTACTTATTTATTTTAAAGGTAGAGTTAGAGAGAGAGGGAAAGAAACAAAGGAAAACAGAAAGAGAGAGATCTTCCAACCACTGGTTTCCTCAGCAAACGGCTACAACGGTCGGGGCTGAGCCAGACCCAAGTCAGGAGCCTGGAACTCCATTCAGGTCTCCGACATAGGTGGCAGGGCCCTCAGCACTTGAGCCATCTTCTGCTGCTTTCACAGGTACATTAGCAGGGAGCTGGATGGAAAATGGAGCAGCCAGGAATTGAACCGCACCCAAATGGAATGCCTGCATAGCATTCAGTGGCTTACTTGCCCCAACCATTCTACAATTTATAAAGTCTCTTTTGTTCTTAAACTTTAAGCAATATATCCTTATTTTCAAAATTTCTGACACACACAGGAAAAAATGACTTTTAACTTGACTAAAAATTAGTGATGAATCAGAGAAAAAATTATAACTCCATTTTAATAGACTGTTTAGCATGAGAATTTTTATTGCTGTAAGATACATTTGGCAAAGGATTTGCATGAGTATTATTATTAGGGCTTTTTTTGGTACCAGCATTCTTCGCTATTTTAAGTCCCTGTAATTAAGAAAATGTCTTCTGAACAGAAATCTACTTTGATTTGTTTTAAGAGAAAAGGACACTTGTTCCTACTCTCCAAATATTTTATGAATCTAGGCAATACCATTTTTTAAACTTTTTCATTCTATGAACATTACTATATGAAGCTTTTACTTTTTAGAAACTCTCATAATTCCTAGCTCATTTTTTAAAATCTCTGTTGATAAATGATGATTTCTTTTTATTATAGAAACCTTTCAAGTGCATACAAAAGACAGTCAATTATATAGTGAAGCCCCATATACCTGGCACACAGATTCAAGAATTATCCCTCACGGCTCTCTATTTCATCAGCACCCCCAACCTTTTCCCATACCCTCCTCAGATTAGTGTGATGAAAAATGCAGACATATCACTTTATCTGTAGCTTTGTCAAGCAGGGTCAGTTTCCTTTGTTAGCCTCATCCTCCCATTTTATCCTACTCCACTAAGTTTATTCCTATTCTCCACTCACTCAATGAATGTCATTCAGATCTCACCAGGGACAGTCCTAGCAACTACTTAGATCTACTTGTGTTAACATCTCTAAAATGAGGGAGAATGGAAACTGCTCCTTCCTAGTATATCAACCATGCCATCCGCAAGTTATGTTAGTATAAAACTTTATTTACAATGAAGACTCTTCTTGAAGAAACTCAACTAGGAAAACTGTCAGAATTCTATTCTACTGAAAGAATTCTGTCCATTATAAAGTAAAACACATAATGAAAATCTACAGGAACTCTTATAAGTACACTTACATATGATGTTTTGTGGGGGATGCTGAATCCGGAGAGGCCTAGAGGAACTTCCTGAGCCTGCCTCGAATTTGAAAACCTGACTTTAAGTTTCAAATCCCTGGTAGCAAACACCCCAGCCCCAGGGCGGTTCTGCCTAAGGATCATTAAGGTGGTATAATAGGAGTGGCTAAGACCCTTTTGCATCACAACACCCTACCCCTTGCCCACATCCGCTCATCTGCTCTGTACCATCTGCTCTGTACCTCAACTATATATACACCTCCCTTTTACAATAAAGTGAGACCCTGCTTCGACCGGGCTCCACACCACGCCTGATTGTCCCCCAGGTTTGGGGAAGGCTGAGTGGCGGGTGGCGCACTTTCCCTTCCTCGGTCAAGGCAAGCTGTGGGCAGCCTGCCTAATTCTCCAGCAGTGGCAAGGAACAGTCACCGCAATGTTTATGGTTAGGCCACCGTCAAAGCCAATTGGGTCAGATCGTTTTTTCATTACTTCTTTTTATTATTTCCATCCAGTTAGGATAATTTATACAAAACTGTCATAAATAAACTGTAATTCTAATGTTTGAAAAAAATAAAATGGTTTTACTTTATTATTTTTTAAAGATATTTTATTTGAAAGGCAGAGCAATACAGAAACAGGGAGACACAGAGAGAGAAAGAGAGATCTTCCATCTGCTGATTCACTCCCCAAATGGCTGCAATAGTCAGGTCTGGGTCAGGTTGAAGCCAGGAGCCAGGAAATCCATCCCAGTCTCCCACAGAGTGACAGGGGCTCAAACACTTGGGCTACCTTCTGCTGCCTTCCCAAGTGCATTTGCAGGAAGCTGGATCAGATGCAGAACAACCAGGACTCAAACCAGTGTTCCAATGTGGTTGCCAGTGTCACAAGCAGCAGCTTAATCTATGTGCCACAATGCCAGCCCCCACTTTTTCCTGCTTTTAGTTTAAGTAGGCACCCAATAGCTAGAATGGTCTACAGTAGACACATGACAGGTGTCTGCTAAACAGTGGTTCTGGCCTGTCCTGAATGTTGCAGGCATTTGGGAAGTGAACAGGCGGATGGGAACGCTTTCTTTGTCTAACATAAGTTTGTGGGGAGCAACTGGGAGCAACTCGGACTAGACTAAGTTACTGGAATTAAGACTTATTCTATGCATCTGCTCTCCCACAATATGGCGCTGGGAGAGGAGGAAACAGCTTCTACACAGCTGCCTCCAGTTCAACCAATAGACTGTGGGACCTGCTCCTGATTGGAGGAGAGCAGCGTACTCGGCGTGTGGGTAGCAGAGTTGGGATTGGTGGAAGAGGACCATAAAGGAGGAGAGAGACAACATGCACCAGGAACATCTATCTGAAGGAACACCTGTGCAGCCCCCGAGAGAGCCGGCCGGCAGTGTGCCGCTCCCCCGCGGAAGTGGGGAAAGTGGCTAGGGGGAACCGCCCTTCCACGGAGGTGGAAGGGACGGTAGCCAACCCGGGAAGAACCAGCAGCAAACCCGGGGAGGGCCGAGCAGACAAAAGAACAACGCAGGGTCCTGTGTCGTTACTCCACGAAGACGGGGAGCGACATAATGGTGCCGTGATCGGATATGAAGCCTAGGCAGGTTCAGTGTCGCTCCTCCACGAAGACGGGGAGCGACAAAGTTAAAAAAAAAATGCTGTCTTTACGTTGAAGGTCCTCAGCTGACCTGCCCTCATGAGGATGCTTGCATCGGCCTGACTACCTGGCCTTTGTATGCTAAGAGACAACTGACACTGGCAGCATTAAATGGTAGTGTCACTACGCTAGCCAAGCCCTCTCTTTCCTCCAGGTTACTCGCCACACAACTCTAGCCACATCAACATCAGCTCTCTCCTTGGGTGTAAGAATAGCCTCTTAACTGGCCTGCTTTCCCTTTACCTGATGATATCCATCCTCCACAGCCAGCCAATAAGCTTCTACCACCCTGGACTTTATTCCTATCCTGGGAAAGACCAATCTCTTTTCAGCCTAAAGCCTTTCTGTATTCACTACCTCAATATGGAAAATGCTGTCTTGAAGTCTTGACATAGCAGTTCTGTATAGTGTTCTAACCATAACTCAGATGCAGCCACGGCAGAAAGGCCTGCCTACCACCGTACCCAAAGGAGGTGACCTGCACTGTGACCACTTTGTATCCTACCATGAACTATAATTAAGTTTATTTTCAGTTTGATCTGGCATTCGTTTTCATGTATCCATGAAAGCAGCTAACGGTGTCTGGTATAAGGTTTAGATTAAAAAAACAAACAAACAACAACAACAACAACAAAATAAATAAAACGATCCAACATGGGAAGCGGGAGACACAGCAGACTCATAGAATGGCAGATGTCCTAAATAGCACTCTGGCCTCAGAATTAGCCCTTAAGGCATTTGGATCTGGCTGAAGAGCCCATGAGAGTATCTTAGGCATGGAAAGCCAAGACACTCTGGAAAAAAAAAAAAAAAAAAAGACGACGACCTAAATGAAAGATCTTTGCGAGTGAGATCCCAATGGAAAGAACGGGGCCATCAAAGAAGGAGGTACCTTTCTCTGAAGGGAGGAGAGAACTTCCACTTTGACTATGACCCTGTTGGAATAAGATCGAAGTCGGTGAACTCAAAAGGCTTCCATAGCCTTGGCAACTCATGACTAGAGCCTAGGGAGATTACTGACGCCGTAAACAAGAGTGTCAAATTGTTAAGTCAACAACAGGAGTCACTGTGTACTTACTTCTCATGTGGGATCTGTCCTTAATGTGTTGTCCAATGTGAAGTAATGCTATAACTAGTACTGAAACAGTATTTTACACTTTGTGTTTCTGTGTGGGTGCAAACTGATGAAATCTTTACTTAATATATACTAAATAGATCTTCTATGAACAGTTTTTTTTTTTTTTTTTTATAAAACAGTAATACAGGAAAAAACTGCTATTCGTTAACTGTTGGGAAAAATCTGATTTTTTTTTCATACAGAATTTTTTTATGCTTAATGAAAAGAAATCTTTAGGTGGACTTGGATTTATATTTCTCTTTGTGGCCGGCGCCGCGGCTCACTAGGCTAATCCTCCGCCTAGCGGCGCCGGCACACCGGGTTCTAGTCCCGGTCAGGGCGCCGGATTCTGTCCCGGTTGCCCCTCTTCCAGGCCAGCCCTCTGCTGTGGCCAGGGAGTGCAGTGGAGGATGGCCCAGGTGCTTGGGCCCTGCACCCCATGGGAGACCAGGAAAAGCACTTGGCTCCTGGCTCCTGCCATCGGATCAGCGCGGTGCGCCGGCCGCGGCGGCCATTGGAGGGTGAACCAACGGCAAAGGAAGACCTTTCTCTCTGTCTCTCTCTCTCACTGTCCACTCTGTCTGTCAAAAAAATAAAAAAATAAATAAAAAATAAAAAAAAAAAATAAAAAAAAAATAGATCTTCTGTATATAAAGATAATTGAAAATGAATCTTGATGTGAATGGAATGGGAGAGGGAGCGGGAGATGGGAGGGGTGCAAGTGGGAGGAAAGTTATAGGGGGGGCATTGTAATCCATAAACTGTACTTTGGAAATTTATATTTACTAAGTAAAAGTTAAAAAATAAAATAAAAAGACTGAATAAATTCACAGGTTATATTACTGCACACTTATTTTTATTTTAATTCCTCATAATGACTCAAGCACACAAGGTTAACACCAAAAATCACTATCAAATCAGAAAGTGGGAGGAGCTACTTACGGAGTCCCACAGAATCAGGCTTGCCATTATCATTCTTACTTGGCTGCACAAGTGGAGCAAATGAAACAGCAAGGATATTTTTACTTTCCCAAGTGTTTTGTCCAGTTCGCATAATCTGTGTTAACTAGTTAGATGGAAAAAAAGAGATCCACTTAATCTTGGCAATAGGATCACTTTACAGTCAAAATTTTGTTTCAAGGGCATAAATGACACCACAAATTATATAACCACCTATGTTTAAAAGCAATCAAAATACTTCCATTTAAGTATTTACAATAAATACAAAAGGAATAAAACATATTTCCTGTTCAAAATAGGAGTTTCAATGAAAACAGGATACCCAAATACAGACAACTGAATCTGCCTGTTAATTTGAAGTTCAATAGCTTCTAAGGAAACCACTGTGCCATTATTTCCTAAAATGTACATCTGAAATGATATGCTAAGCAATTTTGTTAAAGTACTACATGAATAAAACCATATTTTGATTACTGAAGCTACAAGCCTGGAATTTCAGGTGGGTCTCCCACCAGGGTTTCAGGGACACAATTTTTTGAGCCCTCCTCTGTTGCTTTTCCAGGCACATTAGTAGGGAGCTGGATCAGAAGCAGAGCAGCTGAGACTCAAACCAGCGCTCACATGGGATGCCAGCACTCACATGGGATGCCAGCACTGCAGGTAGCTGTTTAACCCACTGAGCCACAACACCAGTCCCTTTAATAACTTTTTTTATATTCTGCCTTTGTAAAAACAAGTAATTTGCTATAGGACACAGTGCATGGTAATGGGTGAGACCCACTGAGCCGTGAATGACTGACATATTATGTTACTAAGGGAATGCCCTCCAAGAAAATACTAACCCCATAGCTACAATGCCAAGTCACAGTCATTGTAAATATCCCACTTGTACTGCACAAACCACAAGCCATTTTCACAGCTCAGATTCAGATTAATACAAATATTAAAGATAATATTTCTTTGAAATGTATTTTTATAAATACAAGGACATTTCAAAAACTTTAAGGAAAAATAGTACTTTTAGGTAAGTTCATTTTGGAGCAAAAAAATTTTGAAATCCACATGGCCTCTTCATAAAATCCATCTTCCACAAACTCTTTGAAGGGCCTCCATATTTAAGGTAAATTGCTTTTAAAAGTCCACTCATTTTTTGAATAAATTAATGTTTCATTTATTTATTATACTTAATACCATAGCAAGATAAACTAAATTTAATGATGCTCATAACTAGCAGGAGAATATTTTCAAATGAGTCCACCTGAAAACAAAGTTTTAAAAGTTCACCTGCTTTATTAACAAAGTTAAGCCTTTCAAACCAAACCACAAAAAGGGTCTTTCCAATATGTACATTCAAAGAAATGAAGGGTATCAGAAACAGCAGCTGATTGAGATCATGACATTCAACTAAACACCCTGCAGAAGGGGGCACTGAAGGAGGCAGCAGCTTGCCGAATGCCAGTCGTGAGCTTGACTGAAAGCCAGTTCCCTCTCCCACACTGTAGCACCTTTTCCTTTGTCTGTTTTGCATAAACAACTAAGAGTCTGTTTCAACTGTTTTCTACACAGATAGATCTGTGAAAAGCGTTTCTTCTTCAAAAATTAACAATGGGGGCTGGCTCTGTGGTGTAGTGGGCTGAGTGGCTACCTGTGATGCTGGCATCACCTATCAGCACTGGATCAGCAGTTCTGCTTCCAATCCAGTTCCCTGTTAATGTGTCTGTGAAGGCAGTGGGGATGGCCTAAGTGCTGGGGCCCCTGACACTCATGTGGGAGATCCAGATGAAGAACCAGGCTCCTGGTTTTAGCCTGGCACAGCCCTGGCTATTGTGGTCATCTGGGGACTGAACCAGTGGATGCAAGATCTCTCTCTGTCACTCTGTCTCTCACTTTCTCTCTAAAACTCCACCTTTCAAATAAAACAAATAGAATCTTTTTCAAAATCATCAATGTACATTTCACCAAATAACATTTCCCAATCTTAAACTAACATGTTTGCTTCCTGCTCAACTAAGCACCACAACAATGCACCATTACCTGATCTTCTATAGGCATGACGAGTATGCCTCCCACTTTCAGTAAAATTTTCATGTAGTTTTCATGGTCTTTCTGTACTCCAGCACCACAATAAATTCGATCATACTGATGACTGTCAGATGCTATCTGGAGGCAATTACCAACCACAAATGCAGGTTCACAGAACTCAAATCTGCAAGGAAAAATACATACATTTCAACTCACTCAAATAAAACATTAAATCTAGAAAAATTACCATAAACTCAGTCCTTTGAAATAGTGAACTGTCAGTATTAATTGTGAGGATTCAAATATGATTATGAAATGTTTAATTATTAAGTTCAGCACTGACCAACTGCATTATTCTATAATCGATGATACAGGGTTTATGTTTGCAAAACATATCTATTTTTGTCCATACTGAAAGCTTAAGGCTTTAGGCTTGAAAATGAATATAATGAAAAGCCCATCACACCACTAATCTTGTGATGTCTCCAAAATGATACATGGAAAAGTATAAAAATCATAAAGGCTTCTCTTCGCACTGACTTCTCAAAATAGGTGAGTGGTCAGTGAAAATGGGAAAGGCTTGTGCAGCATCCACCTTAGTGGACATTTTGGCTGCGGGTGACAGTGTTAGGGCTTTGTCAAGACAGGGTACCAGTGCCCTGACCATATACCCTGGAACCACTAGGATCAGGCAGATCTTTCTAGTAAGTTTTAGCTAACGAAGACTACAGAACTGGGACAGAGAACAGAATGAATATCGTGTTTTCTGGCTGCTGCCTTGTCCCCTATGATCTCCCTTAGCAACAAAAGAAGGGATGTGGTTTCAAAGCAAAGGTATTTTACTCAGGCCACTTGTCTCTGGTCTCTGGTCATGATGCTGGTTCATGGAACAAAGTGTTATGCTTTTACAAACTATCCTATTTAGATTTCTAATTTATTTCTTAAATTCTTATTAACAAAAGTGAAAACAGCTCCTAACACATAATTAAAATCTCAATACATTAATAAGACATGTACTTTTTTAAAAATTCCTATCAGTTTACTTTTGATTACAGTTAATATGACCATGTGGCAGAAGTCGGGCTATTATTTGAGAATGAAGTTAATTTACATTTGGCATGCAGCAAAAAATGACACTGATTTAAATCACAATCATTTTTACTTTGTTAAACATATTCTCTTCTCTGGTAATTAACAGCAGACTTTATACACAGACACATACACACACACACACACACACACACACAGAGTTTCCATTAAAATTCACTAAAACACAGGTATATTATCAACACACACTAAAAGCAGAACTTACGCAAAGCTCTTGTCTCCTTGATGCAGTTGGGGTACATTGTATATACTGGACACTATATATACCCAACACTGTGCTCATCTGTGTACCCCCACACTGAAGCACTGTGACCCATTAGTTCACTGTGCACATTTTTAGGGGCTCTCCTCCATCTTTGCACCCTCTACTACACACGCTAAGTTAAACCCCAGGCATGCCACATAGGGCCCTTTATGTCTGCCACAGTTTGGATATGGTTTGTCCCTCAAAGGTCCAGGTGCTGGAATCTGGGTCCCCAAGATAATGTTACTGATAAATGGTGGGCTCTTCAAAAGGTGGGGCCTGGTGGAAGTAGATAGAAAGGGATCAATGCCTGTCACAGTAAGATCAGGTTAATAATTGATTAATACCTATCTAGGTCTCCAGGGAACGGGTTCTTTCAAAGTGAGGCCATCCTACATATTTGGCTTAGTATGCACTGCTCCCTGCTCTTCCACAAGTGTTGCTATTTGACAACAAGAGGAACTTGCCAGACATAACTCCAGTCTCAGGTATTCTCTAGAGGTGGGGAGCCATCTTGCTGCCAAGGGTCAGCTGGATGTTTATGACATCATTCATGGGTCATACAAAACTAAAACTTAAAAATCAGCCTGCTATTGAATCTATTTATTGAATCTATTGAATCCTGCCTGCAGCTGCCCTGGCAGAACCAGATCAAATGATCTTATACAACCCCACCCATTACAGCAACACAAAGCAGACTAAGGAAACAATTCTAAGGGCCGGCCTGTGGCATAATGGGTAAAGCTGCCCTCTACGACACTGGCATCCTACACAGGCACAGATTCATGTCCTGGCTGCTCCACTTCTTATTCAGCTCCCTGCTAAGGGCCAAAGAAAAGCAGCAGAAGATGGCCCAAGTGCCTGGGCCCCTGCCACCCACGTGGGAGACTCAAATGAAGCTCCTGGCTCCTGTCCTAGGCCTGGTCCAGCCATTGCCATTGTGGTCACCTAGGGAGGGAACCAGTGGTTGAAAGATCTCTCTCCTCAACCCCCACCCCATAACTCTATCAAATAAATAAATCTTTAAAAAGAAAAAAAAATGAAAACAATTTTATCATCAAGTTGCCCTTCCAGGTTCACTTCCTGTACATACTATGCTGTAGCCAGACTGAATTCCTTATAGGAACTACTGCACACTATTTTGAAACTGTATTTTGTGTCTGCTATTGCTTTGATAGAAATGCCTTTCCTTTTCCTTCTTCCCTTAAACCTGATATTCCTTTCAACACCACTTTCACAGTGAAATCTTCCTCAACTCTCAACAGTATCGCGTTCTACTTGTAACACATACACAAAAGTGTAAACCTATTTAGGTGACAGGTCATGTTTAATTTCTCTTTTACATAACACGGTCAAATCATAATTTTTTGGCTCTTAAGTCATTAATTTGGGTCACAAATTAACTTATCAAATTCACAGTAAGCATTAAGCTTTCAATAAAATCTATGTAACATCCTCATTCTTATAAAAGTTTATTTTAAATGCTTTAATTTTAAAATAATTTACATTAATCTTAATTTTCAGGAGGAATATGAGCAACAAATTTAAGTAAAAAGTTTAGTATTAAACTTCATTTATCACTGATAATATGTTAAATAAACTCAAAGTATGCTTATAGTTTTAAAACTTTCCTACTAATTAAAAACATAAAACTATTACTAAGCAAACACTACTACATATAAACAACTTACAACTGAAACTACTTCTCATATTTGTGACATTTTATACATTCTCATCACTGCACAATGAACTGGAAAGAATTTACCGCCTGTTTCTAAAATCAAACGTGCAACTAAGGGCAAACCACTTTGTATCAGCAATCAATCACACAGCTCCTTCAAACTCCACTTATTGTGCCAGCTGTGTGTACTGATCAAGAAGACAGTGGGAAACACGCCTACATCTGGTAGAAGAGAAAAGCAGCAAGCAATCCCAATCAGTGAGGTGTAATTTATAACCTGGTAACTGCTCTAAAGGCGCATCCTAAGTCTGAGGATGGAAGGAAACTGACAGACCTCTGGGGATCAGCGAAATGACAGGATGTGACCTGAAGTAGACAAGAGAGATCTGGAGTTAAAGCCACTGCCTGCAATGCTGGCAGACCACATGGGCAGCGGTTCATGTCCTGGCTGCTTCACTTCCAATGTAGCTCCCTGCTAATGACCTGGGAAAAGCTGCAGAAGATGGCAAAAGTGTTTGGGCTCCTGCCCAAACAATAAAGGTCCTAGCTTCACCTGGGCCAGCCCTGGAATTGTGGCCATCTGGAGAGTGAACCACCAGATTCATTCTGACTTTCAAATAAACAAATCTTTTTTTAAAAAAAATAAATTAAGCCAAGACAATCTACCACCCTGTTCAATATGGCAACCACCAGCCCTGAAGATACCGACCTCTTAAATTGTGGCTAAACTAAACTGAGCTGTGCTACAAGATTCACATGGGTTTTTTAATAGTACGAAAAGGGTAAAATATCTCAGTAATTCCTTTATATTTTAATACTAAAACCTACATTTTGCTTCAAGTCACTTAAGAAGAAAATAATAAACAACTTTCCTTCCACTTATTTCAAAAGCATACTCTTGCCTTTAATGAATAAATCAATTGTCTTACAATTCAATTTTTTGGCCTCTCTAACAAATCGCAAATAGGCCTTCCTTATTGTTCAAATAAACAACTTGAATCTTTTCCTTTCTGATGAGATCAGAACAAGAATATCTACTTGTATCTTAACAGTATTATAGGGGCCAGCGCTGTGGCACAGCGGGTTAATGCCCTGGCCTGAAGCACTGGCATCCCATATGAGCACCGGTTCGAGACCTGGCTCCTCCACTTCCAATCCAGCTCTTTGCTATGGCCTGGGAAAACAGAAGAAGATGGCCCAAGTCCTTGGATCCCTGCACCCACATGGGAGACCCGGAAGAAGCTCCTGGCTTCTGGCTTCAGATCGGCACAGCTCTGGCCATTGCAGCCAATTGGGGAGTGAACCAGCAGATGGAAGATCTCTCTCTCCCTCTCTCTCTCTCTCTCCTCTCTCTGCCTCTACTCTCTCTGTATAACTCATTCAAATAAATAAATATTTAAAAAATAAACAGTATTATAAAGGATCACTGCAGAGAAAAATTTGTAAATAATCTACTGCACATCTAACAAGTGTATATAAGGTTTTTACACTTCCATTTAATGTATTTAATTGCCTTCCTCAGAATTCTCAAATCTGAAAATTTACTTGCACTTAAGGGTAATATTTCAGTATTTCAAAAGGGTTGGGCTATTCTTATATATAAATATGGTAACTGGCCACCACCGCGGCTCACTTGGCTAATCCTCCGCCTGAGGCGCCGGCACACAGGGATCTAGTCCCGGTTGCTCCTCTTCCAGTCCAGCTCTCTGCTGTGGCCTGGGAGGGCAGTGGAAGATGGCCCAAGTGCTCGGGCCCTGCATCCGCGTGGGAGACCAGGAGGATGCACCTGGCTCCTGGCTTCAGATCCCCATGGCGGCCATTGGGGGAGTGAACCAACGGAAGGAAGACCTTTCTCTCTGTCTCTCTCTCTCACTGTCTAAAACTCTCTGTCTCTCTCTCTAACTCTGCCTGTCCAAAAAAAAAAAAAAAAAGGTAACTGAAATACACAAGATAAGTTGCCATTAACACATCAAGAACATAGTAGGGAATTCCTATGTCACACACATGACTTAGAAGTCATAAGAAAAATGTATACCAGAGATAGTATCCCATCTGAGGATAATTTATTATACTTTTAACTCTTTTCTACCTATAATACACTAATTCTTCACAATTAGTGTTTTTTTAAAAGCTCATAAATTCCATATTCTTA